TTTTTTTGGAAAGTTACAAAGTTATATTCACAACTTTTACGTATAATTTGTGGAACAAACTTCAACGTATAACTATACATATAGCTTATATATATGACATCAACATATACCTTCAACGTGACAAAGTTACGTACATAACTTATACATATAACTTATTACGTGACAAAGTTATACGTATAACTTTTATGTATAATATTTTGCAGAACGAACTTATCAATATAATTTCTTAGAAGGCTACAAAAATTATCCACAAAACTTTTATGTATAACTTGTTTGTATACTTAGATATATAACTTGATGAATGACTTAGATGTAAAGTTGGACATACAAGTTATATTCAAGAACATAGATGTACAAATTAATATCATAACATATTAGTAGAAATATAAAAAAAACTATGTATAAAAATAACTATGTAGTATAACTTATAAATTACATGAACAAATTTATATGTAGAAGTCAACATTGATAACTTATATTATAATAATAACTTGTTTGTATAACTTAGATATATAATTTGTTGAATGGTTTGGATGCAAAGTTGGACGTATAAGTTATATATAAGAACTTACATGTATAAATTAATACCATAACATATTAGCAGAAATATGAAACTAAAAAAGACAAAACATGGTGCACTAATTTATATTATTCATCTACAACTTAGTATATGGATACATATATAATCATGTAAAATAGATAGATTAATGTATAAAAAATAAAAAGATAAAGAAAAAAGGAGAAAGATGGACGTACCGTGTAACATAAAGAGGCAACTGGCACTTGCACGTTTCGGTATTGAATGTCTCGGCATTGTGTAACAGAATGAGGCAAGGAGCAACGTGTGGTAGAGAGAGTCTTCTCGCCCAGTCGGATCATTCGCTCGATCGAAAATCAGTGAACGACCGTCCCACCCTCTCCGTGATGACTTGTGTGATCAATCCATTCCCACAATCCCACTCTTCTCTCTCCGCGTGTGTGTGTGTGTGATACAAGAATCATCCCACAATCCCACTTACTCTTCTCTCTCCCTAAACCAAGCAACTAGTAGCACCTTGTTTTACGTCTAATAAAGGTGGATTGCTTGCATGCATTTAGGACGACCGTACTAATAAAACGACATGGAAGACGACTTCTGCAATTTCGCATATATATTAGATTAGAGGAAGGAAATTATATAATGGAACAAAACGAGAGCATATGTAAATAAGAGTCGACACTGAAACACACATAATCACGTGAGCCATATATACCTGCACTGTACAGAGAGGAAACGAGAGGGAGTGGGGTGATATGGACAAGACAGAGGTCCATCAGTCCATGACATGCAAGTATATGGTATCATCCAATAACAAGACCTTGCCACACAACCGCACACCACGTATGATGTCGCCTATAGCACTATACTCATGCTGCGCGCGAAATAAAAGAGAGGGCGTAGTCGCGTAGAAGAGGGTTCACGGGCGCTTCCAGCCCTCCAAGCTAACCGCGCACCCCGCATGCCTCCGCCTCGACCCCACGCACGCCAGTGGAGAGATTCCCGCGATGTACATGGCTGCGTGCCCATGGCAATTTTTCAAAGAGCACTAACCAGCCAGTGGTCTCAGAAACACTCATGGGACTATGAGAAGGAGATGGACGCACGCATCCAAGTTGCAAGTTAATCGCAAGTTACACCGGTCGTACATGTGTGCCGCCGATTTGCGGGAGATGTGTATATTGGTCCAAAAAAGAGACATGTGGTGCATGCCATCGTATGCGTCGCTTACAAGGACCGCGGCACATATCCATGTGACCCGTGCATTTCATTTCATCCTCTACGATCCTGCAGGTCCACAGGTGAAAACATGCCTTTTGTACGTATCATGGATGAAGGAGAGGTATACAACTTGTCTTCGCGTAAAGAATTTAAGATCCGACAGTATAATTGGACTATTCACGTGCACGACCAAACTATGCGAGGTGTAGCTAGGCAAGGCGACAACGACAAGCATCAATGTGATATTTGCTGGGCGAATGCGCGCAAGCAGTAACACGCCACTGTAAGAAGTTGGAAAGCTAGGTGCCCCGGTGGTTTGGCTAATAAGCAAAAATATGACTTATAAGCCAAGCGAACAGGACAAAGATCTACAAGGGAAAAAATTTGAACACATCGCACAAGAGAATGTACGAAGCTAGTAGATTCAGGCAAGCAGCAGCAGCAGAAACACTGGACATTCAAGAATGTCCTGCGACCTAAGGCGAGGTCATCCCGTCGTTACGACAAATAGGACGATTAGCCGATTACTGAAAAGGAGACATTCTGACCCGCACCCGCACACCACTAGGTACACGAGGCTCATGGCCGTTTCCCCATGTCGCTTATGCACAGCATCGCTGAAGTACTGCCAAAGAGAAAAGGCTCGGGCCATTTCCAAAACACCCGGACGCGAGGGGGTATCAGAAATTCAGAGAGCAAGAGCAATAAAGTGGCCCAGCACTGAGCCCATAAGCCCAACTTTACCCATCAGCGATCAACGACCAAATCACGTCCCTCCACGAGTACAGTTCCATGGTCGGGGGACAAATGCTCATTCCATCAATGATGCATGCCAACTGCAACTTACCCAGAGCGTGCTAAGACCTTTTCCTTCATGGAAGAGCACCAGGACGCCGTGCCTCCACGTAACAGTGTTTGTTGTCAGTTCTGGGCTTCTTGTCACTTAGCCAGAATGGCTTCTCGCCTTCTCGGGACAGAGCCATGCTTGGAGGTATGCTATCATGTGCACGGCTAATTTCAAACAGTTGAAACTTATCAGATTCTAATGTATCTACAGAAGTGAGGAAATCATTTTACAAAAATGGCCGGTAAAAGTAATTTCATTAATGTTGTACACAAGGACAATCGGCTCACATGAATACATACATTTCTCTTTCTCCCACTGAAATTTATTTTCTGCCACTGACAGGTGTTTTCAACTTGATACAAATACCAACATAAGCAATCACATTCCAACGGATAAGAAAATTCAAAAATTTCAAGACAAAAACTTAGGCTCAATCAGCATAACATATAGCCTGTGATCCCAGCCGAATCAAGACATGTGACAGAAGAAATTACTCCCTCCATCTCAAAATAAATTAACTTCTAGAATTGCCCTAAATCAAATTATTCCAGGTTTGACCAAATTTATAAAAAAGAGCACCAATATTTACAACATCAAATTAGTATCAGTAGGTACACCATGAAATATATTGCCATATAATCTACTTATTTGGTGTAATAAATGTTTCTTCTTCACTACAAAGTTGGTCAAACTCAACATATTTTGACTTAGGGTGATTATAGAAGTTGATTTATTTTGGGACTAAGGGCGAATACTTCTAGTAAGCAAAGCAGATCCTCAGACAAGATTCAGTGGAAAAAAGGTTCAACGTCTTTATCAGCATAAAATGCATTTCTTTGCATATGGCATATGAATATATGGTCACAATTTGGATTAAAAGTTAAAAGGATTTTTGTAAAGCACAAGGCATCCCTTTTTTAAGGTCAAGAACAAAAATAGAACTGGTGAGAATTATCAGGATCAGGGTGTTGCAGTAACAAATTCTAAGATCACATTTCAGCATGGGCATTGGAAATCAGGAAGAAAGCATTGTACAATAGCAGTTTGGAAGTAAAATGCAAGCACGATGCTCCTATTATAACCAAAAACATCGCACTAGGTTATTTCTTCATTTAAGGTCAAGAAAAGTTAATGCACATTCATCAAATCACTCAGCAGAGCTATGAATTGCAGGTAGGGATGTAAGTGGGTACCAAAGCCTCAGCCATGAACTGCAAGTATAGATGCAGGTAATAGGTCAATCTAGACCATTTTTGCCCTTTTCTTTCTTTGACATCTGGATTGGTTCATTTTGATGAGTTTTGTGTTGACCCAAAGACAAAAAAAAAATTGCATCTCTAATTTAAAGTGTTAACTGGGAAGATAAAGAAAGCCAGGATAAGATACACCAAGGATCTCCACAGCCCTCACTCCTGCTGGTGAGGAGAGTGTGGCAGGAGCCAAGGGCCTGTACTTTATCACAGCCACTAGCTCAGCTAGCTAGGATCTCTAGTTTGGGTCGTTTTTTACCTTCTAAACTTTAGTGGGCGTGAATGTAATCTGTTTTTTAGGGGTGTTTGGGTGTGTTGTGACTCTCATATTTTAATGCAATGATCCGTAGCTCTCCTGTGTGTTCGAGAAAAAAAAAGGATAAGATACAACAAGCAGAGCAGCTTTGAGCAGAACAATATGCCATGAAGTGAGGAATCACCACCCAACCGCAAACAAAAAGGCACACCTTTCTGTGGTTTTCAAAAATTCTTCAGGGCACAACAGAAATCTTTCTGTCAAATATGGTTCATAACATGCACACCAATTGACTCTTATGAATTTAAATTTAACACATATAATGTTTCCCCTATAGTTCTCTGATAAAGCGGGTGTCAAAGAAAACTGACGGTTAGCAGGGTGTGAAGATACATGTACATGTGGTCAAACTGCACTCTAAAACAAGATGGAACTTGTATCCTGACAATGTTAAGTGTAGGTACGCACTAGTGCAGATAAAAAAAATGGTAGACTGAAGCAAATGTGCAACTTGGAACTATTCTGCATTTCATTTAAAACATGTTGAAACTTTGGTACAGATGTATTACTTCAGATTTCAGTCCTTCCTATATCGGAGAAAAAGAAAATCAGACTCCATTACAACCTACAGTAACCTTAAACACTGTCATTATGTAGAACCAGAAACACTTTGGAAATCCAGAAGTTTATAGCAGAGCATTCATAGAACAAAAGATGGATAAGGCAGACCAAACGATGGGAGGTCTCCGGAGCAAAAAGGAATCATGGATGCACATCTTAGGACCTCAAGACATTAACCAGGGTGAATGGCCAGCTTAAATGAAGGCCAAAAACCCATTGTTAAAGATATCCCACAGGTAGAATTGAATACCTTCCAGGATTAGAACTTCAGACCAGGAGAAGAGATGCCAAAATCTCTCCCATTGTCTTCTCTGGTACATCGGTACTACTGTCCAACTCTGCTCCAGAATGAAGAATTGCGGCGTCTAGTACTAGCTTCCGCCTTGCAATCTCATAGATTTTTTCATCAACTGACTCCTTTGTCACTAGCCTGGATAGACACATAAAATTCAGTAACATTCCATAACAATTTCTTGTGGAGCTTGGTATGTAACAACTAAGCTCACTGTATTGCCTTTCATAATTGTGATTATAATGTGTACCTTTCATTTTCTTCGTGAGACATTATGATTGTTTTGGATTATAAGGGCATTTCCTATTTTCAAAATCTAATGAAAATTAAATGGCACATAGTAAACTGTAAAAGAGATAATTATTTGGCACAAATGAGCTTTGAGTAAACTCAACAGAAAATGTCGATATGTGTTTGCCTGGGGTTATTCAACAAAATAGGATCCTGCTTCGTTAGAAAGAGTTGCAAACAGCTCATCAAATGCAGCAAAACTAGGGAAACTATGCAATTATCTTTCAGTACATACATCTAACTATGAAATTTTGCACAGGCACACCACAAAATTGAACAGGGCAAAAAAGAACAAAGGCTTTTTAATAAAACTAGACCTCATTGTAACTTTACAGAATTTCTATATACAGGGCCATATTGCAGGAAAACATCAGAAGATTTTAAGAAAGTATAATAATAAAGGAAGTACTTTTCATAATCTTTAGTCACTATTAAAAAATATAAACATGTCTTGGTGGAAAAATTAATAACAATATGGATATGTGCATGATATCAATGAACAAAAAAACAGAAGAGACAGATAGTGAATCCAAATCAACTAGAGTAATCACTAGAGTAGCACCTATAGATAGTGACAGGTTTCTGTTGTCCAATGCGATGGCAACGGTCCTCGGCTTGCCGATCCATCTGGGGGTTAAAATCCATATCATGTATAATTACTGTGTCAGCTCCTACAAGGTTCAGCCCCTGGCCTCCAGCTCTTGTAGAAAGTAAACACGCAAATATAGAAAGATCGTTGTTGAACGTGTCCACTATAGTCTGCCTTTCTGCTACAGCGGTCCTGGAAGAAAAACAAAATAGCTAATAAACAGAGTTAAATTCGATTAAAAAATCTAAGTAAAGAACATACCCTCCATCAAGGCGTCTATATGTAACTCCTATTACTTCCAGTGCCCATTCAAGGATATCAAGCATTGTGGTCCACTGACTAAATATGAGTACTCTGTGACCATCATTTGCTAGAGAAGGTAAAAGCTCCCCTAAAGCCTGAACACAGAGCAGAGACTATATAAGACGAAAAGTATGACTAGTTTAAAAAATAGCTTAGCTTAGTGTGTCAAATATAGATGACTCTGTTGAGAATATATTGCAAAAAACTCAACATTTCCACTTTTTCTTATAAATAAAAAAGTAGTGCATATCAAAACAGATGTTGGAGAAAGAAATATACCTGACATTTTGCCGATGCAAAAACATGCTCATCTGTTAGAGCACCCTTTGTGCCCACATCACCATATGACAATAATAGCTGCAAGTTAAAGAATAAATAAATACACGATCTATAGAGAGTTAAAAACAAGACTGGCATGTTTGGTAGAGCTGCAAATTAAAGAATAAAAACAAGACTGTGCCCACATCACCAGAGTGGTGCCTTAGGAGTGATTCCCTGAAATAAACTAAAATGTTAGGAGCTGAAAAAAAACTGCTTCTCCTGATTCACTTCCTCCAAAGAGATTATTCCATCAGAATCACTTTCAGCCACAGAACCAATTTCAGGGGGGCAGGGGGAGCTCTACCAAATACACCCTAACTTTCAGACAATAGTGTATTTCTCATAATCAAAACCATTCTTTGCCCAATGCAAACCATTAATACAACATGTACATACTACTCGGTCCTACATTGAATTATTTTGCACCAGAACCAAATAATAAAACACAGGACAATGGTTGAGTGACGAGACAAAGCAAATGGCAAGACCTAATATAGTTAATTCAGTCACAAAGACAACAGACAATGCAGCAGCTTATAAGGTAGAAGTATAGAAGTCAAGAAAGAACAATACTTGGTGGATATCAAAATCATTGTAGTTCTTTAGCTCTTGGATTGCTCTCTCCAAGGAACATTCGAAGCCAAATGCACCTTTAGGGTACAGCAACCGTGCAATTCGATCAACATCTTTGTCACTATAAATATGCCTTATAAGCAAAGGGTGATTCGCAATCTGTGGAGCAATGAAAGAACATTTGAAAATAACCATAAACATATTCCTCAAATTTTGCATCATAAGATATGCTCACCTTGCGAAACTGTGTAAAATAGTTCGATATTTGACGCTTTGGAATCAATCCAGCAATATTATTGGAAATGTCGTCTGAAGACTTGGCACTACGAGCCTGGCAAGCAGCGCGGTATTCATCTATGGCATTTTTGTAAGCTTTAGACTGCTCTGTGCCCAAGACGACAAACTTAACCTGCAAACGAGATGAATTTAGGCTGAAAAAATAAAGAGGCACAACTAATAGCTGATGTGTAAAAAGAGTCACGCACATGTTGTATTTTAGGAACAAGCTGCTGCATTACATCTGACTTCAATCGTCTAAGAATAAATGGCCCTAAAATGGACTTTATGCGTGAAATTAGTTCGCGGTCTTCTGCATTCAGCAGCTTCTTCAGATCAACATCTCCGATGGCAAATATATCAGGCATCATGAATTCCAATAATGACCATAGCTCCTGCATACCATATTAAATCCAAGAACAACTACATAAAAAGAAGTTTTAGGTACATGATACTTCAAGATGAAATAGAATTTTAAGCATTAATAGTGCCTATAAAAACAGTGATTGTGGAAATCTCAAATAACAACAAAAATTGTATTACATATTTGTTTTTTAAATTTTAACTGGCATTACATGTGCCATGTCGATAGATAGCACACGTCGATGTTATAAAAGAAAAACATGAAACACAGCACATATGAGCAAGACGCAAATAAGGACTTCAAGTGATATCTACTATATTAAAAAAAAAAACATTATAGCTTTGAGCACACAGATTCAAGTGTAAGTGGACATTGTCATAATGCCCTTCACTTATTCTGGCACTTTAGTGGTTCCTCTCTTAATATTTTCAGAGGTAGAGGGTTGATAGCAGGGCAGCAGAAGGGGTATTCCTTGGAATGACAATGTTTTTCTGTAAAAAGACGAATATATATTATGTATACTATACTGTCCTGTTCAACCGGTCCAAAAGGCACAAACGGAAGTATCAACCAGCCCACAATGGTACAAGGATTCAGGCCTTCAGGGAAAAGGGAACACGTCCTTCCTATCACAATCATCGGTCATCGCCAACTCCCCGAGTGGCCGCCTGGTGTTCCCCCTATTGCACCCAAGTTCCACAGCCCTAGCGCAGGCGCAAGTGGCAGCAGAATCTGGCGGGCAGCACCCAACAGCGCAGAAAGCAGGCACAGAGGCAAGCAAGTCCGTCAGTTGAAACTTCCGCCCTTCGTCTCAGCCACTTGGGCCCATTCCTGTCCGAGTGTAAGAGGTGAAAGTTCACATCCTCCTCTGGTTAGTATTCTTAGGCCTTAGCTTTTTCTTGCTGTCTTGGACGGCAAAAAAATGTTCTCAGAATACCCTAGTGCAAAATCCTGGATATGCCACTGGTTGATAGGTTATTTGGGGCACACGCATGACAGATGTAAAAATGTAAACTCATACATTGACACTGGGCATTTGTTCAATAAATAAGATAGAAAGAAGAAATGGTAGAATTCTACATTAATGTTGTAGAATATCTTGTATTTAGATAAAGTCCACAAGTTCAAAGCAACATACAATCGGTATTAGAGGAGTATAGCTTTCGAGCACTATTTTGTTTATTACATGATCTTGAAATAGCTCAAAAGGTGCTACTCAGTGCTAGTAGTTAGAAATCTCTTGTTGAATGGCTGTTGGTGCACACTTTATTACTTTGTGAAGTTTAACTGTGCACATTTTTCTGAATTCTCCCTAGCCATATATTATACATGTTTGTTTCCAGAAAGTTCTGTACAGGATTTATGTTGAATGGACTGCCATCAACCAAACACTTGTCAAAAAGACTTACATGCAAATCATTTTGGAGAGGAGTTCCTGTCAGCATTAGCCTTTGGCGAGCATGTTGCGCAACAGCCATCAGGTTTCTCCATCGGAAGCTACCCTTATCTTTCAGAACATGCGCTTCATCCATCAAAACACAGCTCCATTGCCATCTTTTGAGGGCCCTACGATCATCCTTTTGCTGAGCACTACATAAATGTTTTAAATAATAAATAAATTTTCAATGTTCTGAATATGACATTCTGCTGTATCATGCAAAAGGAGTCACTCCAAACCTCCGTCTTTCAAAAAGTGAGTAGCCAACAAGGAGGACATTAAATGGAGCTGGACAGCCAGCCTTGCCTAAGGAGCTTAATTCCTTTGAGTAGGTAGTCCTTGCAGCTCCATGAAACAAGATGATAGAAAACGAAGGGCACCACTTCCTGAGTTCTCTTTCCCAATTCTCCAACACGGAAGCTGGGCAAACTATCAGATGTGGTCCTGGGTCGTTATATAGATGCCGTAATAGAGTAAGATAAGTGACAGCCTGCAGGAACAAAAGAAAAAAATTTCAAACACTAAGAAAAATGAATTGGTGCTCTATTATGCAGCATCCAACAAATGGTGTGTTCTAATCTTCTTCCTGAGCGATGGTGTATACATTAATCAGACAATGTTTTACGGTAACTATGCACAGCGATAAAATATTTAGACAAATAAATCATCCAAGTTTATATTTCAACACAATACAGTTGAATAACACGTATGAACTTGCAAAGATAATACTCCATTCCAAATCATAAGACGTTTTGGCTTTTCTAGGTTCATAGATTTTGCTATGCACTTAGATATACACTATGTCTAGATGCGTAGTTAAAGCAATGTATCTAGAAAAGTCAAGAAGTCTTATAATTTGGAATGCAGAGAGTACATAATACGCTGTAGAATGCAGTTGGAATAATACAACAATCATTTAGGATTCATGTTAGGCTACTACCATGGTTGCTTACCTGCACTGTCTTCCCAAGACCCATTTCATCAGCCAAAATTGCTGTTAAAACAAAGAGGAGAGATATATTTAAATGAATTATGAATAATCTAGTTTTTGTGCACTGTGTAAATGATAAAACATAGCAAATCAATAGTAAGTATGATTGTTAGGATATGGTACTCCAACATGTAGCACACAATAACGAGTGGCATACCGCTTTCCTTAAAATGAATACATAATAGAAAAAAAAAACTAAGGTTTGACAGTAATCTTATAAACTGACTGAACTGAACAAAAATGTGTGTGTGTGGGGTGTGTGTGTGTGTGTGTGTGTGTGTGGGGGGGGTGGGGCATTCCAATGCCCTATGGAACTCCATGACAGGCGACACCTAAGGAGAGGCATTTAGAAGATAATGTCCAAGTTGATCACTAGTTACACATCTATGTATGCAGTATGCACCCTAGCATCAATTCAACATAACATGCATGATACAACAGTAGGAGCTTCCCCTAATAGTTTCCCTGATAAAAAAACTGATGATGCTAAAAGAACCAGAAGGTACTATTAAAATGTTTTCAATCAAAATGATTTTCACCAATGTGATTGCTACTCACATAATCTACATCAGTGTAGAAAAGGAACTAGCAAATGCAGGACTGCTTATTGCAGAAGGCAACAGATGCAGAAACAACAGGATGCTCTCTGACAATGATCACAAGCTACACCATTGACAAAAATGTTGTGAGCAATTGAGAGTGCTCAAGTTCAGCTGCTCAATGCATAAAAAACTTCACCTCCGCCAATGCTTTTCCGATGCAGTAGGAGAAGGAAATTGACGCCCACAAGTTGATACGGCTTCAGCACAGGCTCAAGCCCTGACTTCTCACTTGTGCATGCAGCATTTACGTCTTCCTGCTCCAGCGTTCACAAATCCCATTGGTTCAAAACATTTGTTATCCAAAACCCTTAATTTTCGTCTCAAAAGAAAAAACTTAAATAACATGTACCAGAGTAGCATACAATTTACCTGAGTAACAATACGGCAAGTGGAAGCGTCTATCTCGGCGTAGCTTTCACAATCCCGCGCTGATGAACCAAAAAGCTCCTTGCGCAGATCTGACGAGATGCGTGAACACTTGCGCAATGCCATTCCCACCACATCTCCCTCGGGCTCCTCCACATTTACACTTCTCTCCCCATTGTAGCCCTCATCTTCGTCCTCCTTCTCCAGCTCCGACCAATTCACCCCATCATCATCCTCCACAGCTACAGGCACATCACTGTCATCATCGTCCCCGATCACAAAGCGGCGGCCAGAGGGACGTTGCTGGGGAGGCCTTGGGTCTTGGTAGTCAAAGTCATCATCAGCAAGGTCTTCTTCGTCTTCCTCAGAGATGTCAATGGCAAAACTCGTCAACCGGCGACTGGTAGTGCGGCGTGGGCGCGATGTCCTCGAGGGCGAAGCTGGAAGGTCAAACTCATTGTCCGTGGTGTCGAAGTCATCATCATCACTGTCAGATAGCCATGTGGTGGCAGCAGCCTTGGAAGGTTTCGGATTGCGGCGAGACGAGCCAAAGGACTGAGGATCCTGCAAATGGGGCTTGTGCTGTGAACGCTTCTGGCCGTGTTGTCTCTTTGCGCTGCGGTGGAGGCTTGACGTTTCTGTGAGGTCGAATTCGTCGTCCTCGCTGTTGGAAAGCCCCACATCAGCGGCGAATTTGGACCGTTTGGGATTATGGCTGAAAGAGTTAACTGGCGGAGGAGCCCGCGAATGGGGCTTGAGCTGAGGACCCTTGAGGGGGCGTTGGCTCTTCCCTTTGCGGCGAAGGCTTGACGTCCTCAGAGGCGACGTAGGACGATCGAAGTCATCGTCTGTAAGGACGAAGTCATCGTCCTCGCTGTCGGAGACCCCAAAGGCGGCAGCGGCATTGGAGGGTTGGGGATTGCGGCGGAGCGATTTAACTGGCGGAGAAGGCCGCGAAGGGGGCCCGTTATGCGGGCGCTTGAGGACGCGCTGGCTCTTCGCGGCGCGGCGGGAACCCCCGTCCGCGCCTAGGCCGAAGTCGCTGTCGTCGTCCGAGAGGACGACAGTTGCGGTGCTGGTGCCAGCGGCGGAGCAAGCCTTGGGGTTGTAGGCGAATGAATCGATCGGCGGCGGAGGCTGCGAGGGCCGCTGGTTGGGGTGCTTGAGGACGCGCGAAGGCTCGAAGGTGCGATTAGACCACTCGTCGTCGGAGATCTCCTCGAAGCCGCGGTGCATCGGGGCGAGGCAGCGGCCGCAGCCTGCTGCTACGCCTGCGGACTGTGCTGGGGTCTAGGGTTTTGGGGGCGGCCGGGGCAAGCCAGCGGAGGCGAGAAGCGAGGAGGAGGCGGGGAGCCGGGGACAGGCCGGCGGAGGCGGGACGTGAGGAGGCGGCGGTGGCGGTCGACTGGTCGAGAGGGAGCACGAGAGAATCGGGGAGGGGAATTTTGGCGGCCCCGGGAGTGGGAGAACTGGGCGGCGCCGAAGCTGAATAGACCGCCAATCGCTTTTTCTGGAGAAGTGGAGCACGTAATTTCTAGTATCAGAAGAAAAGAATATAATTATAAGATAATATCGATCAAAGTAACTCAAATTTGATTAAGTTTATAATAAATAGTATTAATATTTATGTCTCTAAGTAAATTTATTATAAATATATTTTATGATTAATCTAATGATGCTAATTTTGCATTATGAATGTTCGTATTTCTTTATATAATTTTGAGTTAAAGTTCTAACTTAATGACTCATCGAAAAGCAAGAATTACATTTTTTATGAACGAATGGAGTAATAGATATATCTTTTAATCTTCTACTAATAGTAGTATTATAGATTAGTATACCTTTTGAGAGTTTCCAAAAAAATTCAGAAGTTTTCCGGTTATTTTGATTTTTGAGTCAGAACATTTCATGTGGGGCCTATCCGTTGGTCGACGCGCTTGGGTCGAGCATTTGAAGAGGGTGTTTGTTTTAATTATAAAATTAATTGTGCAGATGGAGACTAATTTATGAGATAAATTTATTAAACCTAATTAGTCTATGGTTTAACAATATGGTGCTATAGTAAATATGTGCTACCGATAGATTAATTAGGCTTAATAAATTCGTCTCGAAAAAAATCTTTATTTATGCAATTAGTTTTATAATTAATTTATATTTAGTCCTCTTAATTAGCATCCGAACGTCGGATGTGACAAGGAGTCCTCACATCCATACACCCCCGAAATATCTATGCCGTGTGGGTTAGGGAGAGATGATTCTGAACTTGTGATCTAGGGCCTTGGGTTTTGGCTTACAGGGAAAGCTATTTTTTCTTGGCTCGGTTTCTAGATTAAAACAGTTTTAGGCTTCATTTTCTATTTGGTTTTGAATTCACAAACTATTTTTATGGTGCACGTTTAGCAAGATCTTTAATTAAATTGGTGAAACAGTAATAAAAGCCGTGTCGAGGAGACTTGTGTTTGAAACAAAGTAAGACGTTTTGATTTTTCTAGATCATTGATTTTTATTATGTAAGTATATATCTAGATATATAGCAAAATTTATATATATCTAGAAATATCAAAACGTCTTATAGTTTGAATCAAAGGAAGTACTAAATAGCGGTTATTGCAGCCACAAATAGCGGTAGCGGTCTCCTACCATGTAGCGGACTGCATTTAGCAAGTTGGAACTTAGCTTGCGAAAAATTGAGTTAGTCAGCCGCTATAGCAGTTGTAATTCTGCATAGCAATTGCAATAGCGTGGTATGATATGCAGCAAATAAATAATCCTAGCCCACTTAAGATATGCAGAAGTTTTAATTAGACCGATGTGGTTGCTATTTTTCGTTACAGTAATAACGAATGATTGACTTATGACTATTCATGGCTCTCATAATCTGTTTTTTTTTACTCTTATATATTTATAGTATGTAACATGTGAAATATCATGTTTTTTTTCTTAATTTAAGTATATGGGACATCAGTTCTTTTGACTACAGTTTAATGTCTACTTATACCCATTATTCACTGTATATATGCTTAAATTTACGTATAATTATTATATGACGTTATTGGAATTTAGTGTTCGCAATAACGGCCGCTATCCACGATTAGCTACTTCGACATTAATCTCTGACCAGCCCGCGCTGATTTGAACTAGCGGTGGAGTTCCAATCCAACCTACTGCTACAGGCCCAATGGCTTGGTTACTCAACTCAATGACAGGGTCTTGTTCATTTCTCTTATAATCCGTACTTTTCAGCTTGTTTTTTAGCCAAAACAGTGTTTTCTCTCACAATAAATCACCGGAACAGTGTTTCGCTTGATTTTTTTAGCGAAGCGAACGGGGCCTTTACCTGACATCGTATTGTTGTCAAAAAAAACTGACATAACTCTGATCCTATGGGTGATTCGCACACACGCATGGACGATTCAAATACTACGAAGTGTTAGCGAATTTGTTATTAGCAGCCCCAACCTTTTTCTTGTTAAAATGTTGGCCTAGCTGGTTATTACATGGCATATTGCCATCCTCCCATCCCAGATGAGAAAAACCCAAAGAGTTCATGTAACGGAATATGTTCAAAACAATCTTGTTGTATTAGAAAGGCACGTTTCATCAACATTACAATACGACAAAAAACATATAATTCATTAAGTGGCCGTTCGTTTAGAAAATTATATAGAAATCTGACTAGTTAATGGCCTAAATTTGGTTTCAAAAGTTGGGCATGCCAGTATTTTGAATGTCACTTGGCCTGTTATTAAAAATTACCAACAATATATGTTTATTAATGAAATATGCTTTAACTATGATACTTATCATATTTCATAAATATTTATGATGAAAGTTTGTTTTTTCAAGAAGCCAGATACATGTTTACTTTGTGAGTAGCGAGTAATTTTTTTATGACGCAACGGACCCTCAGTACGATCGCTAACATCTTCGACGTCCACGACGACTCGTCTCTACCAACACTTTGGCATGAGGGGCTTCGCTAACATCTTTGGCGTCTCCACCAACACTTTAGTAGGAGGGGCTTCCCTATCATCTTTGGCTAGTATGATGACTCAAGAGCCTTTGTCAATACCTTTGGCATCAACGTTTACGACAACTAGCCTTCATCGCCGAGTTTGAGGGGCTACATCAACTCGTTTGGCACTGAGGACTACTTTACCTTTCTCGACCACTTTAGCTCGAGGGGCTCATTGACGACTTCCAAAGATCTACACGTAAAGAATGTTCCAAAGATGAAGATCTATGCAACGAAAATGTCCTAGAGGCAAAGATCTACAAGCTAAGAAGGTCCCAGAGGCAAAGACCTGCACGTCGAGCGAAGCTAACAATCCATGTCATAGAAGCGACCGAGGAAGCCAAAGGCCAAATATGAAGATACTAGGGAGGACGACATCGAGGCACTTGGAGTTAGTAGCTTCCTGAGTTAGCACTTATATAGACTAGAGTCATGTGCGTGCTCTTTTCTCCATGCCTCATCTAGTACGAGCATCTATTAGGTCATATTGTACCTTTCATAACCCAATAGCTGAGGGGCTACTCTTGGCGGAGCCCATAAGGTATATGGGTCAGATCTTCTCAAGAATAGGCTCAACTAGCAGCTAAGTAGTGTGTCATGTGAAATCCAACCCACCAAGGGGCCACTTGTAAGTAGCCATTGCCTATATTAGTGGCCAAGGGCATGAGGGCAAGGAACCTCACCTTCCACTCATTTTTCCTTGTTCAAAATACTAGTGTGTTTCTCTCCATCGTCAAGCTCTCTCCTCCCTCCTCTATTCGAACAATTAGTTCCAACATACTATTTATCATTCATCAGATCGATCAACGTACTGTTGTGATCAACACTCAATACTCAACACTTCAATAATTATTTAAAAGTTTATTACATCATTAATTAAGTAAAGAACCTAAAAGGAGAGATATATATTATAGTCATATAGACTAAGGGACGACAATCAAAATTATTGTGCTAAAAATATATCATAATTAAACTAAATAACGGTGTTTAGCAAAGCAAAAAAATATCATTAGCGACAATAGTAAAATAATTGGCAATAGCATAGCGGTAGTCCGTCAGAAAAAGCTATAGCAGGTTAATTAAAACCATGGTCACAACAGGAAATTTTCAAAAGCAAGATGGAGTAGGTGAAGGTTGGAGCCGCTAGGAATCTCGTTAGGGAGAGGAACACCAAATGTTAAAGGATTGTGAATGAGAACAAGATCCCCACTTGCTTTTGGTTGAGGAGCATTATCAGCTGTCAGAGCTCCTCGACACATCCTCCAAAGGATATGATTGGCACAGATGTTGTTGGTGAGCCTCAAGACAATACATGACAGTACTGAGCAACGAAGCCCACCGATGGTCCTCGATCAACGTGATGGACGCAGATCCTTGTCCGTGATGCTCTCGAGCTTCATCTACGGCCACACGAGTAGAAAAGACTGTGGTGCGACCTGCCTCCTTGTGGGGGAGACGCAACACGATGTCACTGAGGAGGATGTCCGGGAGGTGGCTGATGTAGTCGACGCCGTCTTCCGAAATCGCCGACACGGGGGTGATCATTGAGAGAAGGCGTCACGATAGTCATCGCCGTACGCCAGGGCCGGTCCTGAATTTTTAGGGGCCCAGGGCAAAACAAAAAAATTTGGGGCCCTTATGTACACATGAACCATGGAACTCTTTTAGGTATTCGAGAACAAAAACACATGAACGACACTATAGCCACCGTGATGCACGACTTCAGCAAGGAGATGTTGCGATGGAAGCGCATGTTGCAAGCATATGTTTCAAGTATTTCAGACGTTTTAGAGGTATGTTGATTGTTTCATATGAATGTTGCAAAAGTAGATCAAGAATGTTGCACATATTGCAAGTGTTTCAGAGGTATGTTGCAATTATTTCATATGGATGTTGCAAAAGTAGATCATGGATGTTGCACATATTGCAAGTGTTTTAGAGGCATGTTGCAAGTGTTTCAGAGGTGTTGTTCAAAATGTTTCATTTGTCCAGACGTATGTTACAAGCGTTCTGATCTGGATGTTGCACATGTTTCACACGTATGTTGCAAGAATATGTACGAAATGTTTTAGCTGTTTCAGTCCTATGTTGCAGTGCATGTTTTCATGGTGTCAAGTTGCAAGTGTTTTATCTGATATTGCATATGTTTCACACATATGTTGCAAGTGTATGTTTTAAACGTTTTATCCACTTCATACAGATTTTGCATTTAAATGTTTCA